TAGAGCTCCAGAAAAGATAACATTTTTCAAAGACAGATTTTTTTACAATGGGGAAGTGGACAGTCCCACACGGGCTCTCCTGCTCACTGCATACCGATCAGTGTGCACCTGGGGTGGGGGGGGGTCCCGACCAGACTGTGCTGTACCGACAGAAGGCCTTCCACACACACACACTACGCAAAGCTAGCACTCCTTTCCACATCCATAACAGAGTCACTGGTGGGTTCAGTAAACCGTTCCTCTGAGAAGCACTCCGTCAGCCAGGTGCAGTCCATGGCTGGGGTGTGGCTCTGGAAGTCCTGCCCACCTGGACCCACCTGTGCAGCCAAAGCCTGAAAGATTCTACAGAAATTCTCTGATCCATCCTCTCATCCTACATCACCTTCTGAATAACGCATATACCTCAAGTGCGTGTGTGTGTGTGTGTGTGAGAGAGAGAGAGACATGTCCATGGCACAAATATTGTACCAAAAGCCATGGTTTTAGCAAAGGAATGCATCACTTCCTGCAGGATTAGGGACTCATCCCCCTCCCCTGTGGCCTCTCCAGCAAACCTCAGAGAACCCCCAACAACCCCCCCCCCCCAGAAGCTGATCAGTCAGCTGACCCCACATCATTACTGCAGCCCGTCTGAAACCGTTAAATATCCCCCAGCGCTGCAGAGGGCACTGTCCTCCTTCAGCTGTCTGCATTAGAAGCCCGTTAGCATCTGTCCTCCAGGGAGGGCTGACACTGCTCCGCTCCTGCATTCTGGGCCTCCAGCATCTCAAAGCGTTGCCATAGTTACCAGCTAGAAGAGCCTCTCGGCAAAAAGAACCTTCCTTCACCTCTCAGCCTGCAGCAGCGTGTGCTTCTTACCTCCGTTTAACCGATTTTAACAACTGAAAAACCGAAAGTGGACACGAGAGCCGAGACTTTCCCTGCATCAGAAACAGTTTCCCGTGAAGGCATCACATTCTCAATCTTTTCTGTTTTAAATCTCAAAATCTCCACATGAAAAAAACAGGAAAAAAGGAAGATGAATCAAAACTTAATGAGGATTCAGTTTTTTGGGGGAATTGCAGCAATGTTTTCTCTTAATTGTCCTTTGTTGGGAGTGGTGAGTGTGTGGACCGGGGCCGGGCTGTCGCAGGGCCGTTCCGGGCGGGGTGTGGCCGGGCTCTCCCGGGAGGCCGGGGTGTGCGCGTACGTTCTAGTTGGCCTTCTGCAGTTCGCCAGCAGGGGGCGCACAGCACGGGCTCCGCAGGGTCTTCTGCAGAACATGGGCGTCGGCTGGCTCTATCCTCTTGTAGTAGTTCTTTTTTGTCTCGATGACCTCAAAGCCAAACTTCTGGTAAAAGTCGATGGCCGACTCATTACTGATCTGCACGTGACTGTGAAGAGAAGGGAGACAAAAAACTCAAACTGAGCTTTACATTTCAGCAGAGACTGTTCACCTCCTGCACTTTACACACTCAAACCCAGCCGAGACTGTTCACCTCCTGCACTTTACACACTCAAACGCAGCTGCATCCAGAACACAATATGATGTCCAGCCAAAACCTGAAATCAATGACAGTTTTTGGAGGGCCTCCTCCCACAGAGGACAGACTCCTCCAGGACTGTGGGCACACAGAGCACAGTGCTTCTCAGCTCTGATCTGTTTTGTGGTGGGAAACAGCAGCAGGCCTTACAGATAGATGTTGTCGAAGGTTCCATCTTTTTCACAGATGTTTAGCACATGGTTCAGCATCTTAGTTCCTGAGGAAAGACAGAAAATCTGGCTGAAGCAACACTCAGACACCTCTTAAATATCACCCGTAAATTCAGGAAATAAACTCAAGTTCAATTCACAGATTCACAAATTGAAAATTGCCCATGATTTCTATAAAGATTTTTCAGTGAAATGAATCTCAGTTCATGTCCTGAATTGACTGCAGGTGGGCGGGGTCTTACCTACGCCCAGCCTGCGGTAGGGTGCCAGGCAGCCCAGCGTCATGATGTACAGCCTCTTCTGGTTCTGGGAGTGGTCCACACGGCAGCACACCGCCCCCACCGCGATGTCATTGAAGTACGCTGCGACAGAGGGGTCAGAGGTCAGACACGGCACCATCACATCACAGCGCTCCGACATCACAGACACACAGCCACACCGACGCACAGACGCACCGACACACAGACGCACCGACGCACAGACGCACCGACGCACAGATGCACCGACGCACAGATGCACCGACGCACAGATGCACCGACGCACAAACACAGACGCACCGACACAGCCACAGACACAGCCGCACAGACGCGCAGACACAGACACAGACGCACCGACACACAGACACAGACGCACAGACACACAGACACAGACGCACAGACACACAGACGCACAGACGCACAGACGCACAGACGCACAGACGCGCAGACGCGCAGACACGCAGACACGCAGACACGCAGACACGCAGCCGCACAGACACGCAGCCGCACAGACACGCAGCCGCACAGACACAGACGCACCGACACACAGACACAGACACACAGACGCACCGACACACAGACACAGACACAGACACACCGACGCACAGACACAGCGCGGTGCTCTGACATCCCCTCACCTAGCTTGGCCAGCTCGCCCACCTCCAGCACGTCCTTGTAGAACTTGTGGTTGTAGCTGACAGGGAAGATCACCTGGTTCAGCCGCTTCAGCTGCTTGATGTTGTGAGGCGTCACGTCCCCTAGCTCAATCCGGCTACTGCAGAAAAACAAGACCGTCAACCAATCACAGAGCAGCGGCACACAGCCAATCACAGAGCAGGAATCAGCACTCAGGCACCAATGAGACAGCAGGAGAGAGGAATGCATTAGAGCTGTGGGGTATAAATAGACCCCACACACTCACACACACACACACACACACGCACACACACACGCACACACACACACACACACACACACACACACACACACACACACACACACACACACACACACACACACACACACACACACACACACACACACACACAGGTATAGGTATATAGCCAGGAAGCACCACCTGAGCAGGTGAGTCTCTACTGAGGTAAAGTCACAGCTCAGACATGGATACCTGGGAGGAGCAGGTATGTGCTGGCTGTAGCCATCAGGACTCCTTCAGGGATAACGCACCTACGCTGATACCCTAACCCTAGCACAGCAACACCCTCTTCCCTCAGAAGACATCTGCTCTGTGACCGACGTGTGTCTCTGCCTGCTGGCCTTTCTGACCCTGCCAAGCAAGACGGGTACTCATAGGGTACGGGTACATCCTAAACCTCAGACACGACAGAGATCCCAGCAACTGTTCACTGACATAACGGGGGAAACCTGGCAAAATTTACCCAAGACTTTGCTTAGTTTTCAGTTTTAGTGAGCCCTTAAGTTGGTCACTACAAGAATTTACGTTTACATTTTACATTTACATTTATTCATGTAGCAGACGCTTTTATCCAAAGCGATGCACAAAAGTGCAAATAGTGGGCAAACAACAGGCACAAGGACAAGATGTGTACAGGTCATACAATGCAGATAGTGCTGAAGCTGAACACAAGGTCAGTGTAGCGAAACAGAGCTAATCTGATCTGAGGTTACATATATCAAATACAGTCACTGGGACAATAAAGTGCTGCTGTACTACCTCGGCAAAGACGTGCTACAAATACAACGCAAGAGATAGTGCTACAAGTGTGAGCCAAGAATCTTAGATTTACAAGGTCAAATGGCAATGGTGTCAGTCCAGGTAGAGTCTGAAGAGGTGTGTCTTCAGCCCACGTCTGAAAGTTTGGAGTGAAGGAGTTGTTCTCAGGGGGGTGGGGAGTTCATTCCACCACTGGGGGGCGATGATGGAAAAGCGTCGTTGTGAGGAGCGTGGGCTTTCGTTCTGTTGGTGGGTGGAGCGAGGCGTCCGGATGTAGCAGAGCGAAGTTGACGAGCAGGTGCGTAGGGTAGGATGAGGTCCTGGAGGCAAGACGGGGTGGACTTTTTTGCAGCAGAAAAGGTGAGGGACAGGGTTTTGAAGCAGATCCTGGCTGCGATTGGGAGCCAGTGGAGGGATCTCAGTAAGGGGGTGACACGGGAGAACTTGGGGAGATTGTAGATCAGCCTAGCAGCTGCGTTTTGGATGAGCTGCAGTGGCTGAATGGTGCAGGCTGGGAGGCCTGCGAGGAGAGCATTGCAATAGTCCAAGCAGGAGAGCACGGTGGCCTGGACAAGCAGCTGGGTGGAGTAGGTGGTCAGAAAAGGGCGAATCCTCCTGATGTTGAAGAGGAGGAATCGACAGGAGCGTGTTGCCTGCGAGATTTATGCGAGATTTCTGCAAGGTTTATGGATTTTAGGGAAATATACTATTAAAGAAATGAGCTAGCTAGTGGCTGTAGCAGCCCGTTTGATCCCAGCATCGCTCCTTGTCCATCTCTCTAGCAAAGATTTCCTCGCTTGCCGACAGCGTTAGACTCAGCCAGTTAGAGCGCTGACAGTAAGACACACTGCATGCACTTTTTGGAGATTCTACCAGTTTTTTTTTCGTTGGTATCAGCAGTTTGTCTTTCAGAGGTACTGAAGTTAGCTACCTGCCCAAATTACGCCTGTCCAGCCACCTGTCCAGCCCCCTAACAGTCGCTAGGCGCTGTCCTTAATAGACACGACTGTGATCTGTGCAGCTGGCTAAAGTTATCTGGACAAGTGACCATCTTTTTAGCTGATCCGGCTAGCCAGTTAGATTCACGAACATGTGCGTTATTAGTCCTAAAGCATCGATAGGTGCCTGCTTCCCTCGCAGGTGAAAAACACACTCAGGGACCCTTGTTAGCATGCTAGTTACCCAGACTAACTAAACACGGAAGAAGTTACAGTTGTCTTAACAGTCATACTAAGAGCTCGCCAGTACAAACTACTGGTATGATTACATAAAAGCCAGCTAACGACGTATGCAAGATTTGCACTGAGACAGAAGTATCATCAAAGGATGACTCCACACAGCCCCCCTTTGGGGCACCAGTGTAACACAGTGGTAAGGAGTAGGGCTCGTAACCGTAAGGTTGTTGGTTCGATTCCCTGTTGGGAAACTGATGCTGTACCCTTGGGTATGGTACTTAACCCAGAATTGTCTCAGTAAATATCCAGCTGTATAAGTGGATCAATTTGCAACCGATGTAAGTCGCTCTGGATAAGTGTCTACCAATGCAATGCAATGCTTTGGCATTCCCTGCACGACACGTGTGTGCCTGCTTAGCGAGCTGGTTCGCGCCCGGTTCCGTCACTTCTGTAAGTGTCAGTCTGCTAAGCGCGCTGCCACGCTGCGTGGCTGCGGTCGGCAGATTCTCCGCGTCCCGCAGCGGCAGGAGCGCAGCATCGCGCAGCGAGAAAAAAAAAGAGCAAAGAAAAGACGCAACTCGTGTCCGACACGACAGCGCTGCTCACCCTTTCATTTTCGACAGAAGTTGCTCCTCGGCTCGGATGCGACGGCGGCTGTGAGAGGGGGAATCGGGGCCGCTATCAGGGCTTCAGCTCGCCTGCCTCCCGCTCTGTCCTCCACATGGACCCGCACCCGCCCCGCGGCTCGCAGCGCAGCGTCAACTCTGACCCCGCACGCTACACGCACGCCTTATGTGCGGCTTTTTTATTTTTCTCGAAAAACGGTGCACTTATCCTAAACAAATATCGTTTAAACGTTGTTTCACTGCCTTTGTTTGTGATCGGAAATTTCTACACTGTTTTTTTTCTTTGCACAAGGACGTGAACTTTGACACGTGCAGGTAGTCTTCCGTTCACGTGACTTTTTAACAAAAAGCGGCTACATATTCACGAAATGTATTAGCGCATGTTCCTATTGAGAAGAAGCAGTGGATGGTTACATCTTTTTTAAACTGACACTCACGTCACATTGCGCGTAATCAGGGGAGAGGAGTGCCTAATATTGCATAATTCCAGTCGTTAAAATGAATCCTGATGCTACTGGAATAACGCGAACTTCGCAGCTGTAATTATTGTAAAACGTACGCAGTGTCCTGCAGGACCGCGCTGCAGCTGCCGGACAGTGTGGAGGCTTAAAGACCGAGCACTGTGAGAGCGATCTCAGTCCGAGACGCACTGATTGATTGATACGGAGTGACCGAATGTATTGATTATATTAACCCCTGTTTTTTTTAAAGAACAGCCATATCTAGTGTGAAGTTAGAAAATAGTGATGCTGGTCCACATGTTGAGAAGCTGTGCAGTACTGTGTTAAGGGAGATTGGGTCGTATCTCAAAGGTTGTGGGTTGAAGTTGCTTGGCACAGCATGTACTGTATATTAAACTCTGTAAATGGATGTAACGCCACGGTTGTCAGTGTGTCGCCATTGGTAACAGTGTCTTCTAACCAAATTAATGGTGTAAATAACAATTTCAGTTCACAGTGCCTGGACTGATAATAGAGTGTAGTACATCACAGCTGGGTCCCCCATGACATTGGCGCCATGAGTCTTCTCTGTGACAAAACTCACTGCGAGATCACTGCCGAAGACAAGAGCCGACACTGTGATTCCAGTATTGTGAAATATGAGATTCCTCTCGACACTTCACCACACGTTAGAGTTGCTCTTTTCGTGTAATGTTATGCACTTTCCTCTTATAACAATTATAAATAATACATTTTATTTATGAAGCGCTGTACAATCAGTTTCAACACAATGAGAATTTTAAAACTTTTTTATTTAAAGAAATGAAATGACATTTACGTGATTTGATCAACGGTCTGCCTAAATTAATTAGTCTGGTCTGACACTGTGGCCCATTTAACTTGAATGGATACACTCCTGTTCCATTGCGCTGGAAATCGCTCTGGATAAGAGCGTCTGTTATATTAATGTAATCAACGCTCCGACCAGCTTGGCTCTTATCATATCAGGGAGTCGCCGGTCCGGTGTCGCGCAGATCTGCTTTCGCGAATACAATGGAGAAGCTGATTTCGTCTCTCGCTTCGTCACGGCTGATCACCGCTCATGTCACAGCAACTCGAAAACATCCCCGTGCAAATGGGTACGAATCCCATTGTACCGGATGCGAAAACATCTGTGAGGGTTACAGGCAGAAGTTTCCCGTCGGTGCTGATCCAGGACCAGTTTTGCTGTTTAGCGTATGATGGTTGCGGTTAAAATTCTATCTGACTAATCTGGCCCTAGATCAGACGCACTATCACCTCCCGTCGCAAGCGAGGCGAGGACAGAGAGCAGGAAGCGTGGGTGGAGCGTCACTCTCCGCCTTGAGCCAAAATGGCGTCTGTTTCCACACCTCGAACGCATGCGTAGTGAGGCTGCGGAAATTTGATCAGCTGACTCTTTGCACTCGCATCGCAGAGGAAGGAGGAACGCGCAGAGCACCGTTTCATTGAAAAGGTAACATGATTGCATTTCAAAACCACGTACGAATCGCGATTTAATTCGACTAGATTAGCTATTTTCAGACACATTAGTGCCGAAAACGAGGAATGGCTGTAGCTTGCTAGCTACCTACTCGTACATCAGCTGACGGTGCAGAGCAGAAAGACGTAGGAGTAGGGGTAAATAAAACATTGCGTGTTTCCTCTTTTGGTCATTGGAAATATTTTTCGGTAACTCGTAGTCCTAATTAAATTATTTTGCATCCCAGTAGTGTTCAGCGGTTAGGCCTTTACATTATTATTGCATTTTGTGTTGTTTTGCGGCTCGCTTAGATTGCTAGCTTTTAATTCAGAGCTGAGGACATGCCATTCCGTCCGTCAGCCAGGCGTTTGCTTGGATTGATTATAATGATTATTTATGTAACTTCATATCGATGATCAGACCGCTACTAGCTGGTCTTATCGCAAGCGAATAAACTGGTTAAATGTAAACGTTTTCGGCGTCGTTTGACAAAATCAGCTGGAAGGATGGCGAGGTTTTCTGTTCTGTTGGTCATGGATGTAATTTCGGTTGTGTCGGCAGACCTGAGGGCTACAGCTCTTTACATATAAAAAGCGCGTTATTTATAATGTGTGTTTTTCTTCCGTCTGGGGACAGGAGAACTAGCTTAACGTTAGCGTATGCAAACTGCATACAGATGGCAGTGGTTTGGTAGAATAGGGGGGAAACTCGTGATAAAGTTCATATTCGGTTTTAAAAACACCACATCATATCGAACATGTAATCAAGAGATAACAGGATTGTTTAGATTTGCAATATCTATCTGTCTGGAGGGACTGAATTCTCTGTCCGGGTCATGTGACGTTGTTCTACTACAGGGGCATTAAGCTCGTGAGCAGGAGGAAATGCTGTCGGTTTAGAAACGCGTGTTTGGGACGCAGGAAAGGGCCCCGATCACGCGTTTGCAGCGGGGATGTTTCACCGCGACCCGCAATCCGGGGGAGAACTTCACGTGCCATGCTGAAGATGATGCGGTGATGACCCCCAGCACGCGCAGGCTGTGGGGACACGCGATCATCACCCCCTCGTGAGGACCCCTCCGCGCTTTCTCCGGCAGATGCGGTATTTCTCAGAAATGCGCGGTCTCTACCCGCGGCGCGTCTCCGAGAGGCACCGCAGTGCCCGTTATGGGTTGATGAGTCGAACAGATGAATGTGTCTGAACTGTGTCACGTGTTCCGTGTCACATGATGTGGAGGGGAAGCAGGATTGGTATGAGTCTCGGTTAAAAGAGGCTTTGGAAAGAAGAAGTGGAAAAAAATTCTGATTCACCACGAAAGAGGAGCTGGATCAGGGCATTCCAGACTCATCACTGACACACCCGCGTTGGGCCTGAGGTCTCGTGATAATGCTGCTCCAGTCACCCCCCGGTAGGGGCAAAGGCCGTGCACTCACACCGTCATTACCACTTTGCTTGAATTGGAGATTGATGATCGCCTGCGCTGCTGTACTTGAACTGCAGTGGCGGTTCCTCCTTTCAGGTAACGCAGTCAGGCTGTAGCAGAGCCACACACACACACAATGGCTGCAGCTCAGCGACTCTGTAGTCTTTGATGTGTAGCCCCTGTTTTGTATTTTTATGCTAATAGTTGAGTAGATCGCAGCAGAGTTGACTGTGGCGTCTGTATCACTGGTACTCACCTGGTATCAGGTGAGTTGTGTGCGGAGTAGCGGGAGGGGGGATTGTGTGCAGAGTAGCGGGGGATTGTGTGCAGAATATGGTTTTGAAATTGAGATGGTGAAAAACAGGAGTCTTTGACTGAGTGTAAGGAAGTGAGACTGGATCAGTGTGGCAATACAGGGAACTCTCAACCATGTGTGTGCGAGTGTGTATACGACTCTGCGTGTGTGTGTGTCTGTGTGTGTGAGTGAGAGTGAGTGTGTAGATGGCTGTGTGTGTGTGTGTGTGTGTGTGTGTGTGTGTGTGTGTGTGTGTGTGTATACAGCTCTGTGTGTGAGTGTGAGTGCGTGTGTGTCTCACAGAGCACAGCACTGCTGGTGTTCCGCTTGGGGGGAGACAGTGTGTGAGGTGCACTGCCCTAATTCCAACCTAAAGAGAGACACTTTACCGTGGTTACTGTGGTGAGGGACAGCGCTGTCACCGCGTTAGAGTGAGTGGCCACAGTGTGCACCTTGGTTAATCCTGTAAAGTCCATATCGGTCTTCAGGCAGGTCCCTGCTGACTGGCTGCCCATCAGATACAGGCTGTCCAGTGAGGCCTCGAGTCTCCTGCAGAGAAGGCAGCTGATTGGCTAAGAAAAGAGGCGTGTCCTAAGCAAACCCGCTGCTGCGCCTTGCAGTTCCAGAGCAGGCTGACAGCGTGCAGTGTCAGATCCGCGGGGTGTGGCACGCTCCTGTCGATTCCTCCTCTACAACATCAGGAGGATTCGCCCTTTTCTGACCACCTACTCCACCCAGCTGCTTGTCCAGGCCACCGTGCTCTCCTGCTTGGACTATTGCAATGCTCTCCTCGCAGGCCTCCCAGCCTGCACCATTCAGCCACTGCAGCTCATCCAAAACGCAGCTGCTAGGCTGATCTACAATCTCCCCAAGTTCTCCCGTGTCACCCCCTTACTGAGATCCCTCCACTGGCTCCCAATCGCAGCCAGGATCTGCTTCAAAACCCTGTCCCTCACCTTTTCTG